TCTACATCAGGTTCGTATGTTCGTGCGTGTGTGTGTGTGTGTGTGTGTGTGTGTGGTAATTTGCATGGAGATGGTGTTGATCAATGGAAGGAAGGTGGAGACGAATCATCAACAGGGAGGTCAGCCCCTAGCTGACGTCTCAGCGTGGACCATCCGCGAGAGACTACGACAAAGAAGAAGAAGAAGGTGGTGATCAATGGTAGTTTATACCTACCTATATCTACACAGGCATATGATATATATACGGACACATCCGCATGCCTGGCAAGCACACGTAATAATATCACAGCTGTGGCCGTGGTATGCAGGCTATATCCTATATTGTGTCGGGAAGATCTACCTGCCAAGGTTGTGAAAAGTGTAGGCCTACCACACACAAATATAGCTTCCACAGAGTACCCGATTACCCATTACCCCCATGCAGTCATAATGGTTTATGGCGCATGTGTTAGTTAGCACACACGCTTATATTCCGACACATCCTTTGACCTATGGACCAGCTGAACTATGGACCTTCCTCGTCCTTATCGGATTTCATTATAACGACAAACCGTTTTCGTTTTATTTATTCTAGATGAGTACACGTATTTGGAAAGCGACGCGACATGGGTCGGATCAGTATGTGCCTCCGGGTCGCGCCAGTGGCGGTGATACCATTGATCATCATACTCATCATAGCTTATAACGAGCTAGTGATCCCAAGTGCAACTTCGCCTGTAAACATGAAGCTCGTGTCGCTACGTGAAACCGGTAAGATTGTGCATTATACTAGAAACAAATACATCTAAACGATCTGCGATTCTAGCTTTAGTCACGGACGTGACACTGCTCTGCTAAATAACTTTATAATCTTCGCGTTTACCCAACCATACCTCAAATCGTAACCAACGATTTATAAACCCATTTACCTAAAATCCGCTATAGTTGCCTAAAGCTGAGTTTACACTGACGATTTTATGCAGGTAACTTGGCGTTTTTCTTCTTTCTACCAACCTCTCTATACAAATGTAAATTTTAAAATATGGCTGAAAAATGTTACGACCGGGACTTTCTGGACTCTTAACGGGGCACCGGGACCAGCATGTCGCACTGGGACGATCCCGGTGGGACGTCTCTGTGTGTGTGTGTGTGTGTGTGTGTGTGTGTGTGTGTGTGTGTGTGTGTGTGTGTGTGTGTGTGTGTGTGTGTGTGTGTGTGTGTGTGTGTGTGTGTGTGTGTGTGTATGTGTGGGTGTGTGTGTGTGTGTGTGTGTGTGAGTGTGTGTTTGTGTTTGTGCGCGCGCTTACGTAAGTGAGTGGGTGAGTGATCTATATACCAGCTAGGATTTCTATCAACTTGAGTTCTATAACGCGTTGCCGAGTATTATAATATACCTCGCGCTGATTGAAAATTTTGATCGAACATCAGGTTCTACTCGAGGTGAGGCCCGTTATATATTTTTTTATTACCTGACCGCCATGTGCCTAGCGTAAATAGACTCAATAAGGATCACACTCATGTAAACTGTATCCGGTAAACATGTAAATGGTATAGACTATAGATCCGTGTCCGCCCAAGGCATTGTGTTTTCGCAACTATAAAATGACGTTTACTAATCTAAATCTTCACTATCATCGTGAGCGCCGGCACAACGTTCACTAGACAGAGGGACCGAATAATTACTCGTCCCATACTAGATCGCCGTGCGTTTTGCTGTGCTGTTGCTCGTAGTCGTAGTCTTGTTTGCGGTGCGGCGTGCCGTGCGTTGGGTGCGTGCGAGGTGCGTGCTGTGGTCGTGATCTGGGTTGCCCATGTGACGTGACGTGTTTCACCCGTATGACACCAGTATAAAAAAAAGTCCCAAACGTTCACGGAGACTGTTGTTCATCGCGTGTTCTATATATTTACTGAACGCAGATAAGACGTCTAGTGTCTCCCTAGACCTCGTGTCTTGCAGCCTTAGGCTGGCCCTCTTTAGCGTATTGCTGACGAACCCTAGAGCCCTTGTAACTATTTGATAATTGGTTAGGGGGTTAGGGGGGTTGCGGCTTAGGTTTCAGGGTGAAAGTAGCTAAGCGCAGGGCCAAGGGTCAAAACGAGAGGTCAGNGCTTCACTGTACAATAGTACCTACACAGCTCACGTACTCATACTTTACTTTTCCAGCCACGCCGACAAAATCTGCTAAACCAGCGACTTCGCTGCGCCACAGTGAGTTGCATATTTGTGCATTCATAGTGCATTGTACAATGTCATGAAACTGCTGTTTTTGGAAAGCGTGCAGCACTTGGATATTTTTCTTGTTTTTGTTGAAGTTTGCCATAAAACAATCTTTTTATCATGATCATTATTGCATCATTGCCCATGTTTCAGAAGAGGACGTGCCCGTGGTCAATAAATCTGCGAGCCGACAGTATAACACAACTTTTCCTCCCACCGATCTAAAG